CTTCTCCCTCTCGCACTCCCCCTGCTTGTGTTCCCTCTCTCGCTGTGTCTCTCTCTGTCAAATAAATAAATAAAATCTTTAAAAAAAAAAAAGAAAAGAAAAAGGCAGAGAAAATTGTGCATGAGCTCTAATTCTAACAACTCTGGCTAAATTAGCAATGGTCTTAGTAAGAATATGAGGCGAGAATGTGGGAAAAGGAAAGCAGATTGATGAGGGTGGCAGCATTTGAGCCATGCTGTTTTCTTCTCCTTGGACTCCCTTTCATGTTATTTGTAAGAAGACCCTGAGTCAGGTGGGGAGGCACCAGGACAGCAGGTCTAGCTAGTGAGAAGGTGAACAATGAACAGGTGGCCGCTGGCTTTCGTCTCCAAAGGGACACCGACTGCACAAACGTGAGCACAGGCCGCCCGCGAGTTCTTAAAATAGCGCCCCCGGCAAGCTGCAGAGGCCCCGGGAGGGTGGGAAATTTGGGCTCTGGCAGGATGTGGAGTGGGCGCTGCCGGTGGCCGCCAGGAATTCATTAGCAGCATCTCTGCCTCCTCCAGACGGAGCCGGGCGGGGAGGAGTGTGCCTCGGAGGCGGAGAAGGTGGCCATGGATCTCAAGGACCCCAACCGCCCCCGGTTCACGCTGCAGGAGCTGCGGGATGTACTACACGAGAGGAACGAACTCAAGTCCAAAGTGTTTCTGTTGCAGGAGGAGCTGACGTACTACAAGAGGTGAGCATCCCCGGGAGCCCCCAGGCTGTCTGCTTTCTGGGGTTGTAGGTCTTGGGAAGACAGGGATTGCACCTGTCTCCGTTCCGGGGACCCTGTCGGGCCGGAAGGACTTACACACACGCCTCACAAGCCCTTTCTGAAACTCTTAGGCCCAGGTGCGTTTTATGATTCAGAACTTTGCAGCTGTGAGAAAGGAATAGTCCACAGATGGTGTATAGATAACATCCGCCCCCAGGATGTGGGACAGCTCCCCAACATCAAACACGTTAATATTTTCACAGCAAAAGATGTGAATGTTCGTCCTACATGCGATAAATAACCACGATAAGCAGGCTCATGAGAGCTCATTTCACGTTCTGCCACCAAATGAATGACCAAAAAGTGAATTTTCATTTTTAGAGCTTTTTGGATTTTAGAATTGTAGATTAGAGATGGTAGAGCCGTACAGCCTAAGTATTTGTTCATTCAGCCCACGGCCAGTGAACTCCTTGCACTTACTAGAGCTGCACTGTCTGATATGGTAGCCACTAGCCCTGCGGCTGTTCACATTTCAGTGAGTCCAGTTCCTCGGGTGTGCTTGCCACATACTTGTTCAGCTTCATACACACTATCCCTCTACTGGTTTCTTAAAAGTCCACACTTGTTTCTCCTCAGGACCTTTGCATGTGCTGGTCCTGTAGCTGGGGAAACGTTCCCCTGGGCTCTTCTCATGGTTGACTCCTGGTCATTCAGGATTCAAGTCAGGGGTCACCTCCTCAGAGAGTTTTCCTTCCCCGTTACCACTCATCCAAAGGAGTGCCCTGTTCCAGTCACTGTCACTTTACTCGGTTTTACTTTTTTCATGGACCTTCACCATCTTACTTTAATCCTGTTCATTAATGTGCTTGTTTTATTGTCTGTTTCCATAACAGACTATGACAACATGAGACGAGAAAGCATATTTGTCTTGTTCATGGCTAAGTTTCCAAGTTTAGAATGGAGCTTAGCACAGAGTAGGTGCACAACAAATACTTCTTGAATGGAAAGCCAAAAGGACAGATGCACCAGATGTGGCCCCTGATCCAGTAGGGAAAATAAGAGATGCACAGAAGATATAGTACCACGTATTTTTATTGAAAACCCACTGTATGCCTGGCACATAAGAAAGTTTTACTGATACTGTGTGCACTGGCTGTTCAAAGGGGGAGATCACTTCTCAGGGATGGGGTAGAAATCAGGAAGGCTTCATGGAGGGGGGTGGCATTTGAACTGGGCTTTCCCTAAAGGATAGGGTACTGTTCAGGTATGGGAGATGTTGAGGGGTGGGTGCCATATTCCAGATGGAAGAAACACAAAGGTATGGAGACAGCATTTGTCAAGGACAGGAGACAGGAAGTAGTTCTATGTGGCTAGATTCTTCAAAGGAAACTGAAAATTGCCTTTTTGAGATGGGGGTTCCTTTCCTGAAATTCTTCACATTTGACCAACTGGGCCAAAGGGACCACAGGCACCCACATCCACTGCCTCCAGTGGATGACCCCTTCTCTTAGCTGGCCATGCCCATTGCTAAGAGGCCAGACCCCCCAGGCAAAGAGACTGTTGGGGTACAGGCCACTTTTGCCATCTTCCTAGGTCCCCCTATTCCCAGTATAAGCCCTCCCAGACCATTAGACAAATACCCTTCTGGAATATTCCAGCTCTCACAGAATTTTTGACTCTCTTATCTCACGCCTCTCAACCCTCTCCAGTGAAGAAATAGAAGAGGAAAATCGAATACCCCAACCTCCACCGGTCGTCCACCCGAGAATGTCCCCCCAGCCGGAGTCTGGGATCAAGCGACTGTAAGTGACATGCTTCTAGAGTGTGGGGCTGCTCGCGCACAGCTGACCTGGTGGTTCACACAGCCTCTCACTTCTGGGCACCTGCTCCGGGGCCAGGCTTGTCACTAACCACCTCCTGCTGAGACAGGCTTAACCCCGGAGCACGTGGGGCCTGGCCCTCGACTTTGAGCTCATCTCTGCACCTGAATGCTGAGTTCCTCCAGGGGGGTTCCCAGGCAGAGAGGTTTGGGTAAGGCTGAGAGGATGGAAAGGGGGTGGGGCCTGTGGCTGAGGTTCAGGGCTTGAGTGTATCAGGTGGGGTGTGTCTCTGGGCAGCAAATAAGGCTGGCAGGGGAGATTCATGCATCCGAAGGGCCTGCAACCCCAGCTTGCAAAGGCCTGGAATGGCCCCTGGTCACCCCATCTGTGCATTTCTGTGACGACTCCCCCACCCTCCCGTAAGAAAGTATTTATTCCTACATAATCCATGCAGAGTCAGGCCATGTTTGCTATGGGGAACACACAAGAACGAAAGAACTCAGCCTTGCGTTCAACCAGACTTAAAGCTACTTGAGCGGTTCTCAAAGACTGCTTTGAGATTCAGAGAGTTTGTAGACCCTCTCCTTGGGGGAGGAGAAAAACCACACATACAGCTGTGCATACAGTTTCAGGTTGTTGACCCTTGCAGCCCTTCAGATAAAGGGTGAAAAGCTCTGGTCTGGTTGGCTATGGTCTGCCAGGTACCGTTCCTGCAGAGAGAGGAGCTCATCGAGTCCCCACCATACCCCTGTGAGGTAGAGGCACTGTCATTCCCATGTTATAGCTAAGGAAACTGAGGCAGCTGCCTAAGGACATTCAGCTATTAAGAGGCAGAGCCAGGGTTCAAACCTAGGCAGCCTGGCCCCAGAGCCCACATTTCAGACTATCTGCCGGGTACGCACACTCACACCATTGTCTTGTAGCCTGTTATCTCCCCCAAGAGGGTCTTCCTGGCTCCTGGCCTTCCATCTGTACCCACGGCTTATTACAGAAGAGGCCTCCTCTCTTTCTCCCAAACTCTGGCGGAAGCCTTGTGAAAGCAGGCGGCGTGGGTTGGAAAGCCACCGGGAGCATGTGGGGAGAGCAATTGGGGTGTTACTTGGGTGCTTCAACCTTTAAAAACCAGTTACATTGGGAAATTCTTGGCTAGCTCTGACCCCCGTGAAGTGACTTGATGCTCAGCGATGGTGGACGGGAAGGGCAATACAGAATGTGTGCAGCCCTGTGACTGCCCGAGCCTCTCCTCTTGGGAGGGGGTGGCGGCCCTGTAGAGTGTGCACGGGAGCACATGGCCCCTTCCCCAGCCTTTCTTGCCAGCTTCACATTGCTTATTTGCTTGGCCCTGCATCTCTGCGTGGGGTCCCCAGTTCTGGTTAGAGGTCGGCACTTTATTAGGAGTGAAGCTTGGAACCAGAAAAGCTTCCTCTGAATCCTAACACCATTTGGCTACGTATTAGTAATCTAACATTGGTAACTGAAAATCAGCTCAGAGTAACTTAAGAAAACTGTTGGCTAAAAAAAAAAAAAGAAAAGAAAACTGTTGGCTGAGGAACCCAGAATTCCCAGGCCAGGCTGGCTTCAGGCTCAGCTGGATCCAGGCCTTGTCATCAGGGCTCTGCTTCATTTCCTCCACCTCTGGCTTGGTTTTCCTTACGTGGGCTGTATTCTTGGACACGCTGTCCCTCAGGGTGGCAACATGGCAGACATCAGCTCAGGCTTCTACTTTCTTTGGTCTGAAACTCCAGTGGGAAGAGAATTTTCCACAGCAGTCATGGAATCGAGTCTCATTGGCTCAGACCGGGTCACATGGCCTCTATGCCAACCACAGAGCAGTGCATCCATCGGCCAGGTCAGGGTCTCCTCCTCATGCCTGGGGCTGGGATAGCTCTAACTCGGTCTGGTTCAGATGGACTGAAATTAGGGGAAGGATGGGCCCCACGCAGATCAGAGGGCTAGGCAGACAGAAGGTATGGGTGTCCACTGTAGCCTAATCATGGGGGAGGGGGAGCCCTTCGGTCTCAATGTATGATGTACTCGGTACCCAGGGAAACTCGCCTTTGGGTAGGGTTTCTCATCCAGTGCTAAGAAATGGGATTGACTTTGCTTAAACTCTGAGCCACCTGCTGGCCCCACGCACAGGTAAGGATGAGCATAATCAATTTTGTGTTTCAACAGCTATCACTTTGGGTGAAAAGCTGGGGGAGCGGAGAAAAAGTTCATGGGCCCTCATAGTCCGCCCCTGGGCTGAGGAGGGGCAGGACCAAGAGACCATCCCTGTGCTTCCTTGAGCTGTTCATTGGCAGGTCTTTAAAAATCAGGCCTTTTTAGCATCTCCACGTGTGCCGCATGCAGAACGCCTCCAGCACTGTAATTCTAAGACATACGCATTTCTAAGCCTGCCTTCCAAAGCCGGGCTGTCCTGATTTTGTAGTTTTCTGCTCCGGCCCCCTTTCCTCACAGAAAGGCAATTAAGAGTTGGCTTTTGCAAATCCCCAAATGGGTAAAATCCAGAGGAAAGTAATCAGAATTAGCTAGCAATCTTCTTCCCACTGGTTCTTCTACCCACACCTTAAGGAGCTGTGGTGTCAAATCCTCTTTTCCAGATTGTTCCACAAAGGATGCTCGGCCCTTCTCCCATTTAGTGTGGCCTCTTTCTGCTCAGCAAGACCTAGGGCTCTGAGCCTGGCAGTAGGAACAGCTGGAACTGGAGAGCCAGAGAGAGAGAAACAGAGAGGGAGAGAGATCAGAAAACCCCGTCCAGAGGGTGCAGGTGGCCAGTCCCGTGGCCACCCCGGCCTTCTAGCAGATGACTGGATGATCAGGCTGGCACAAAAGGCTTTTGACCAGCCCAGGCAGGACACTGGTGCCTTTGTCCAGCTCGGCTGCTGACTGGGAACTGCAGCAGTGCGAACCCAGAGCCCAGAGCCAGGGGCAGGGACCTATCTTCCCTGGGGGCTGGGGCAGGGAATGGCGGTTCTCAAGACGGTTGTTCCATGCCTACCTCCCTTTCCATCCCTCCCACCTCTGGCACCCCTTAGGGTCCATTTGTCCCTTCGCCCTTGCTTTTGAGGCATATTAGTCACATGGCCTTTCCAATACAGGTCATGGCTGCTTGCCAGCTCAGCTTCACGCCCTTGCCTGGTTTCCTCCATCCACCGGCAAGTGAGCAATAACTCCCACTGAGGTTTGAAGGGGCTTTATTCATCGGCTCACACCACCTGAAGTAAGGTATCGTCCACCCTGTCAGAAACTCAGAGCTGGGATGATTAGCCCCATTTCTCAGATGCGTCACGGGCCCGGAGAAGCCCATTGACTTCCTTTAGAGCAGACCACTGGGAAGGGTCAGAGTTGGGATTTGAACCCATGCCTTCTGCCTCCCGCGCCCCCCCCCCCCGCCCATTTCCTCACCCTGTGCCAAGTCACTAGCTGCGGGCGGACTGCCCAGTTCCCTTATCTCTCAATTGCACCGCAAGCCAGGGACGTCAGCGTCTACGTTTCTGGGCTGAACTGGTGAAGGGAACCAGAAACTCCTGCTTCTGGTCAAAACAGAAGACGGTCCAAGAATAGCTTGTGACTGAGCAGCTGCTGGCCGGAGAGTCCAGGTTGGCACCGCCTGGGAAGGTCACGAGGGAGCACGGAGTGGCTCCAGTGTTGTCCCCAGTGGCCACCAGGCACCAGCGCCCCCCTTTGTGTGGTCTGCATCTCTTGGTCCCTACAGACTCACACACTTTCTGCGGAGCCGGGGCGGAGGGCTGAGCCGGGCGGGGGGGGCGGGGAGCAGGCAGTGGGGACACGGGGACAGCCACGGAAGCGATGGAGCGGAACAGCTGGTCACACATGCCGGCAAGGGTGGCCTTCGGAGTAGGCGGCCCCGAAGCATCAGGCAGTCATGGCAACAGTGCATTCTGTCCCTGTCCTCCTACCCACCGCCCTCCTCGCTTCAGCCCAGAAATAGCTTCTTCACAGCCCCGCCCGTTGCACGGCCTGAAACGCCACTGTTGCAACTTCATTTGGATTGAGTCTTCTAGAAATCGTCAGTGGGGAGGAAGTCGGTAAAGCCAGCTACACCATGTCCAGGACATAAATGTTCGACCGAAACAAGCCAGCCTTTTTTCAAGGAAGGGGCTGTCCTTCTAGAGGAGGTGGTTCCTGCAGGGAGGCACCTGGAATAGGAAGGAAGGGGGCCGTGCGTCCAGCGACACATATGGTTAGTCAGCCAGAACCCTCCAGGCGTCCCAAGGCCCCTGGGCACTGGTCTGACCCCTGGTGGGACCCCAAGTGAAGGCAGGCAAGCATGTCACCCTGGGTCTGGGGCCACCCTGCACGATGACTGTGTCTTTGGGGGTTCCTGCTAGGCCGAGAGGGGTTCTGGTAGAGGTCGGTGCAAAACCGTGTGGCTTGGAGCCCCTGAGAGCCTGTCCTCGGGGGATTGGGCCCATTTGTTTGACAAAAGGTATCCGCTTTTCTCATCACCACGAGAAGATACCCATGTGGGTTCTGCCAAGATGCCAACTCCCAGCTACTCCATGAAGTGTATCGGAGGTAAATCTAAACACAGATAATCCCCACCCTCATCTGAGACAGTCCTTCCTATCTCTTCCCAGCCAGCATCTTAAAAAAAAAAAAAAAAATCGTAGTTCAAAATCAGCTCTGGTGGCTTGACTGGAGTCTTCTTCATTCTCCTTGCCAAGACAAGAGACTGATGAGTATTCACTGTCAGCTCTGACTTATGCAGGCTCTCTGCCTCAGTTCTCCTGCCCGGACTAACCGGGCCACCTCATCTTCTCCCCTGGATGCCCCCTGGCTGCCTTCTTTGGGGCGTGGAGCCTGCAGTGTGTGGCAGTCGGGGGAGACGACCCGAGGGTGTCACCACTAACCCACGGCAGGTTTGACTCCTTCCTTCCCAACCCCAGGCCTGCTTTTCAGCCCCGAGGGCCTCCGCAGTCAAGTATCACAAGCGGGGAGCCTTCCACAGCCCAAACGCTTTGTCTCAGGCCTCTGGAGGCGAGGAGCCTCAGACCCAGGTGTCGGCAGGGGCGGTTCCTTGTGAGGGCTGTGAGAGAGAACGTTTCGTGCCTCTTTAGCTTCAGTGGTTTGCTGGCGATCTTTTTGCTGCGGATCTTTGCGGATCCGCAGAAGCATCGCCTGGACCCCGGCCTTCATCTTCACCTTGCGGTCCTCCTGTGGGAGCATCTGTGTCCAGATTTCCCCCTTTTAAAAAGATCCACTCTTCTCCAGTATAACTTTATCTTAACGTGTTACCTCTACAAGGATGCTTTCTCCAAAGAGTTGCTTTCTGAGCTGCTGGGGGTTAGGACTTGACCGTGAGTTCTGGGGAGGGGGACACAGTTCCACCCATGACATCTGCCGTAGCAAACCCTTCAGCTGGCCTGTGTGTGTAGTGTGTTTATTTTTCATGCCTCCCTGTTTTTATCTTCTCTGTGTCTATCTGTACTTCTCTAACCAGGATCTTTACAGCCATAATGCCCATGGTAGCAGCTGGACTGATAATAGATGACCCCACACTGCAGCCCGTCCGAAGACTTGTTTCCCTTGTAGGCACTGGGTTTTTGTGGGTTCGTTTTGAGCTGTGCCTCTGGAATGTGTGCTTCGGCTCTGCTGAGGCTGGCCCGCCTTCCTTGGCCACTTTAGCTGCATGGCCATCACCTGCGTGTTCCCATTTGAAGTGGGTGTCGAGTGTGATTTCAAACGTGCCCTCGTGAGTCTTGACATGCACGAGTGAAGCCATGGCATTCTCGGCTCTGTCACCGATAATTCTTTTTGTCTTTTTTCTGTTTCCATTCTAAAAACCACCTTGCCCATGATCCAGTAAAGAAGGTCCTTTAAGTGACGGGTCAGTAATCAGTGCCCACTGTGACCCCCACCCCCGAGTGACACTAACGCTGTGTTTTCGACCTTCACACCCTAGCTTTCTAAACTGCTTTGTTTTGCCAAGCCATCGCCAGAAAGCCATTTGGTCGTCTTTTTAAAAAGGAAGAGCAGAGGAGGGGACCAATGCTTTGTTTCTCTCTGTGTCCCCTTGGACAGGGAGTGGCGCATGGCTTTCCTGTGTGAGTCAGGTAGAGGTGAAATGTAACAGTGATGTGTTGCTGCTGTATTTTTGGCCAGCTAATTGCCCTCATTACACCATGGAAAGAGCTCACAAATAACCCAGTGTGAACATTGCGCCTTCATTTGTCAGTGCACATATCTGTTGTAGAGAAAAGAAACTTTAGCTGGAATTTCTCCACATACACTCGGCTTGCCCCAGCTTTCGATGAAAGACCACTTTATTCCTGGTAGGAGGTGATCGTAGGGTCCAGTGACCACAGAATAGTAAAATCATTTGCACCCAGATGTGATTACAACTGAACTCCATAGGCCACAGCACTTAAAAAAAAAAAAAAAAAAGGGCTACTGGGTGAACAGACAGAACTAAAAATAGTTGATCTGAAGCTTCAGTTTCTCAGCAGTGCATTCCTATTCCTTCCTGCCCCCCTGAGAAACATAACATAGCTATTATCTCTCTTACCAAGTTCAGAAACCAAAATTCAAAAGTAGCAGAACTCGGTGAGAGTAGAATGAATCTCATTAGAAAGTAGGAGTATCAAAGGACAGTGGGCAATTCTGGAAAGGTTTTTGGGGGAAATTCAAGGTGGGCCACATCAGGTTTACTGGCCAAGGTCTTGGTCTTTGTGGAGGTGGGGCCAAAGCAGACCTTGTTTCAACTGGGCCAGTTTTGGGGTGCCTGGGTGGCTCAGTCAGTTAAGCGTCTAACTCTTGATTTCGGCTCAGGTCATGATCTCAGGGTCTTGAGAGATTCTCTCCCTCTCCCTCTGCTCCTCCACCCTTGCACATGCTCTCTCTCTCTTAAAAAAAAAAGTCACATGCTCTATGGACTGAGCCAGACAGGCACCCCTAAACTGGCCCATTTATTTTTTGAGAGAGAGAGAGAGAGGGAGAGGGAGTCCGAGCACGTGACTCTTAATCTCAGGCTTGTGAGTTCAAGCCCCACATTGGGTGTGGAGCCTACTTAAAGTAAAATTAAAAAAAAAAAATTTTTTTTTAATGGGCCAGTTTATAAGCTTGCCTGTGATTTCTTCATCTTTTATTTTATTATGTATGTTAAACACCATACATTACATCATTAGTTTTTGATGCAGTGTTCCATGATTCATTGTTTGCGTATAACACCCAGTGCTCCATTCAATACCTGCCCTCTTTAATACCCATCACCGGGCTAACCCATCCCCCCACCCCCCTCCCCTCTAGAACCCTCAGTTTGTGATTTCTTCCTTCATCTCTGAGGCTTCAGATGGTTCACTTTGATCAATGATCAGTTGTCGCAGCTGTTTTTGGTTTTGGTTTTGTTTTTTTTATTTTTTTTTTAGAAAGAGAGTGTGGGGGCGGGTGGGCAGAAGGAGAGGGAGAGACAGAATCTTAAGCAGGCTCTATGCCCAGCAGAGCCCGACACAGGGCGCAATCTCATGATCCTGAGATCATGACCTGAGCCACTCAGGTGCCCCAGTAATCACAGCTGTTTTAAAAAGCCCTCTTTGTCTACATTAGCTGCTGCCATGTAGCAAGTTACAGTGCTTTTTTTTTTTTTTTTAAAGATTTTATTTATTTATTTGACAGAGAGAGACACACAGCGAGAGAGGGAACACCAGCAGGGGGGGTGGGAGAGGGAGAAGCAGGCTTCCCGCGGAGCAGGGAGCCCGATGTGGGGCTCGATCCCAGGACCCGGGGATCATGACCTGAGCCGAAGGCAGACGCTTAACCGACTGAGCCACCCAGGCGCCCCTACAGTGCTAACTTCTAAAGGCTTTCGCCCGTAATTCAGTTTTTGACACTGTAAATTGGTGTTTTCCCCAATCTCATTTGCATACAATATTCACAGTGTTTATCCAATGACAGACCCATGTGTACTATTATTTTTCAGTTGTCTCATTTTTCTAAAATACCTACTTTCGGCTCCTCTCTAGCAGTCATATCCACAAAATCTGGGCTTTGATGTGCTGCATATGTACTTTCCTGATTCACGTTACATAACAAATTAAAAACATTCATTTCTTTATGTCAGAATCATCTTAAACTCTATGTGGCTTTCAGTTATGACCTTCTCTGCATCATTAGGGTAAGGAAACTCCAGATGTATATTTCTAGTCATTTTTTATTTCCACTGGTAATGGGAAGAGACCGTCAGCAGTGCCTAAGAGAGAAGATGCATCACACATCACCTATGTGCATGCCCCGTTCACACTGTGTCACCTCCCAGGTTCAGTGACAATGACATGCAGAATCCCCTGCTGCTTTCTCAAATAACTTTGACCCGTGCCCCCACTTTTTCTTTCACACCTTGAATTGATGTGCTTCCTTCCACATTTGCTACTGTATGTCCTGGCATGGCAGAAACTCTCTACAGTGCACAGCAAAGGACCGGCTCTCATTTCTTTCTTTCTCTTCCAAAAAGGTTTAGCTTCTTCTCCCGAGACAAGAAGCGTCTGGCCAACACGCAGAGGAACGTGCACATCCAGGAGTCCTTTGGCCAGTGGGCCAACTCCCACCGTGATGACGGTTACACAGAGCAAGGACAGGAAGCCCTGCAGCACCTGTGACCACAGCCCCCCTCTGCCCTCGGACCGGAACTGTCCCCCGCCAGCACCTGCAGCGGAACCTGGCAGCCCCAGGTGTCACGACCTTGCACACCTCTGGGTTCAGATGCACCCTCAGAACTGATCCCTCAAAACAGACTGTCTGCTTTGAGGAAAGCACACCGAAAAACTGATGCCAAACTCTAAAGACATGTTTATTTATACCCAGGGCTATCACCGTTTATAATAGATGACTGATCCCTTAGGATATATATTTAATAATACCATGAGCAGAGGCCAGACTTTTGCATTAACTTCAGTAACACAAGCTTCTTTAAGCCAAATACATCACATGCCACTATAATTGCTGTTTGACTTGCTTTGTATGAAATTCTGTGTGTAGAGGTTCTATTAACACATTTGTCATACTTAAGTGGGAGGCAGGGAAGTGGTAGATTTTCAGTAGATCATTCATGAAATTGTCATGGTGGTAGCGTAATATATAAGATGCATCCGTTAGATAAGCGGGGCCTCCGAAGTCGCCAGACAAGCTGGCCCCGATTAGATGCGAAGCAACAGAAAATATGGATGACAGTCCAGCGCAGAAACTGGAGATGACTTGCAAGAGCCGGTGGTTCTATTTTGCATCTTGTTACTGATACTGCCTGGAGCATGTAGCGAGCGAGTGCCTTGGAATCAGCTGTGAGTTCTGCAGTACGAACCAGAGTTGCTAAGGATAAGACATTGCAACCTTTCCCATTTGTAATTTTTTCCCCTTGGCTTCTTTCTTCCTTTTAGCCTTCCATATATCAAACACTTAGTCCCCTATTAAGACAAGTGTACCAGAGCGGATTTGGAATGGGGTGGGGGAGCCTAGGGGATGCAGGACTGGGGAGGAGGCCGGGAGGCTCGCCAGTGCGAGGGCAGTGGGTGAAGAGATTGCTTGGGGACCGCATGTCGGGCTGACTCATGGGGCTGTGGTGGCAGACAGAGAGCCAGAAGCCTGCATCTGGTGAGCTGGGGTTTTGCCGAAACAGCACCGTCTCTCTACCCACAGAGAACCCAGGGCACAGGCTGGGTGCTGACAGATTGAGAGAGGTAGCATTTGCTAACAACACTCAAGTACGTCTGACAGGTCCACTATCTACACATTGCTAAGAAACCATCAGGTTGGTTTAGAGTCGACGGGGACTCTGTTTCCAGACTGCTGAAAATAACGATCAGACAGGATAATGTTGCTTTTGCACAGTGGTTCTCAAACCTGACTGCCCACGAGAATTATCAGTTGATTCTGAGAGTATAAAAGCAGGTGTATGAAGGAACCCCCCCTCCCCCTGGCCAACTTTAGTTGCCCTTTCCCCAGGAGTAACCAGTGTTGCCAGTTTCTTGAGTGTCTTTTTTGAAAGAGCTTATAAATATACATGCAGTTATGTAACAAAATGTATTTTTTCCTTTTTTTTTAAACATAAATGGCAGCATACTATATATGTGCTATTCTGTACTTTTCTTTTCTTAGAATACCCTGGAGATGACCACATCAGTACATAAGACGTGGGTCTCAGTGTCCCCCAGGGACATTTGACAATGTCTGGAGATGTTTTTGGTGTTTTGGTTGTTACAACTGCTATGTCATCCAGTGGGTAGGCTCCAAGGATGCTGCTCATCATCCTACAATGCTCATGACAGCGCCCCACAACAAAGAATCTTCCAGATGTAATAGTGCCAAGATCGAAGGACCCCTGGTCTACCGTGTAGATGCATAATTTGTTCATGTTTGTCCATGCCCCAGTGATGGACAGGGAGCTTCCTTCCAATCTTTTACTGCCTAAAACAGCACTGCACATTTTCGCACACATACATCAGTCTGCAGAATAAACTAGAATTACTTGCTAGGTGATAGGGTGTATGCCTTTGTCATGTGGCTACTGCTAAGGTCCCTGCTGTGGGGGCTCTACCAATTTTTTTTTGTTTGGTTACCCAAGGCCCATACAAGATGAAGCCTGAATGTCAAGGGTTGGGTCTGAGTGTGCATATTTGTAATCCATCCATGTTCTGGTACCCAGGGTTGATAACCGCTGGCTTGGACAATGTAAATACCATGACTGGATTTCTTTCTTCTTCTTCTTTTTTTTTTTTTTTTAAAGACTTCTATCTATTTATTCGAGAGAGAGAGAATGAGAGAGAGCACATGAGAAGGGGGAGGGTCAGAGGGAGAAGCAGACTCCCCGCCGAGCAGGGAGCCCGATGCGGGACTCGATCCCGGGACTCCAGGATCATGACCTGAGCCGAAGGCAGTCGCTTAACCAACTGAGCCACCCAGGCGCCCTGGATTTCTTTCTTCTGATGCTGTCTCGACACACATGCTTCCTTGATGTGGAGCGCTCTTTTAGCTGAAGTACCTACCAACTCTAACCCATAACACACTTTTGGTGCCATAATAGGGAGCACTTTGTGAAACCTGAGTGAAATCAAAAGGGTGTTCCTGCGCGGCTGTTTTTTGAGACATGGGAGATGGTAAAATTCTGCACTGGAAGTTTACAAAGGAAAGAGTCTATTTTTTAAAGATTTTATTTATTTATTTGAGAGAGAGAGAGAGAGAGCACAAGTAGGCAGAGAGGCAGGCAGAGGGAGAGGGAGAAGCAGGCTCCCCGCTGAGCAGGGAGCCCGACGTGGGGCTCGATCCCAGGACCCTGGGATCATGACCTGAGCCGAAAGCAGCCACTTAACCAACTGAGCCACCCAGGTGCCCCAAGAGTCTATTTTTCTAAAACTGTTCTAACAGCTAACAGCAGTTTTAAGATAGAGCAGGTTCCCTATGTAACAACAAGATTCATACTCCAAATGCAAAAACCTAGTCGTGAATATGTTGAGTCTTGATACTAAGTCATTTACTTTGCATGAAACATCTTGAATTTTAAGAACCTGAGCTTTCAAAGATACAGCCATTGATAAAACAAAAACGCTAAGTGTCACTTCTGTGAAAATCCTGTGAAGAGCATGGTACTTTTCAAAGCCCTCAGAAACTAAGGTCAATATATCCAGCCCCCAAACAAATGGGAGGCCAGATGTCCAAGAGGGAGAAGACAAATCAATCTATCAGAACCAGACAGAAGCCTTTCATAGATTTCTCTTCATTTCTGTTTCACGCTCACTTCTTTGGAGCTTCACAAACCAGAGCCCCAGAGGCCTGCAACTTTGGTTTTTCATTTTAAATGCCAGCCTCCCTGCCCAAAACAGGGAAGAAAAAAAGGCAGTCAGCATTTGGCTCAAGAATGGAGTTATATTTGTTCAAGAGTAGCTGGTTGCTGACCCAGGCCACTGCTCACACTGGTTTTGCTATGAAGTTCTGGACATTCTCCCTGAATTCACTTTTCTATCCCATTTTTATTTCAGCTCGGCAAGCCTTTACACTATAGATATAAAGATGGAAAAGATACAAGTTACTCTGATCAGACTCGGGTTTCCCAGGAGTCTGAGAGCAATGCAAATGATTTTTGGTCATCACCTCTTTTTGCCAAGCCCCCAAAATGGTCAATTCCAACAGACAGGAGAGAATCAAAATCACAAAAACAATTCTTTACTGCCAAATTAAAAGAGAATTCTCTACTGCCACATGCCCTTCTGTATAGATGCTGGTGAGGACAAAACTGTCCAAGTTTATTAAATAATGGGTCCTTAGAACAACAAGATGAAGAGAAATTCATAATATCAGCATGTTCAGCTTGAACCTCGGTTCCAGACCGAAAAGAAAACTTACTCCAGACCTCATCACCATCAGCAAATTTTATTCAAGCACTGGACATAGTTTCAAACTGTATAAAAGCAACACAGATCTCTCCGTGCTTCTATTTACGCTGTGTCTTCGTCTGGGTTCTGGTGGTGGTGGTGAGCCTCTATTTACTTCGGTCCCTCTTCTCCCTCCCCTTGGCTCTGTCATCTCTGAAGTCCCTCTCTCTCTCCCAGTCACTTTCTGGCCACACCCTGGTTGGCTCTCTGTCCTGCCATCTCCTCTCCCGGCCACGGTCGTGGTCTCGGTCTCTTGTCCGAGAGTCCCAGTGTCTTTCTCGAGACCGAGATCGCTCCCGCTTTTCCCTTTTTCCCTCTCTGTATTGGTCGTTTTTAACAATTGGCAAATTAATGGGTTTTCGAAAAGGCCGATCACGCCCCCCAAATCTCAGTTGCCCGGATTCCTTTTTCCCCCCCAGACCTCCTCCAAGTCGCCGAGGGATCCACCCTTTGAGGGTCCTTTCCAGTTCATAGTCCACAAATATCTCATGCTGGTCAATAACCAGGCCGTCTGCATCTCGGTAAGCTTTGATCAGAGAACGCTCCTCTTTGTATTCAATGAAGGCATAGCCCTTTGAAAAGCCAGTGACCAAGTCCCTCACCAGCCGAAGCCGCCGGATGTCCCCATAGCGGGAAAATACTTCCTTTAACTTCTCCTCTTTGGTCTGCAAGTTTAGTCTTGCCACAAACAGGGTGAGGAGGGGGTCTCCTGTGACGCCTTTGTTGGGGGTGTATCGTGCCAACATTGCCCTCCAGACGGCGCGATCGTGTGGGTCTTCATCAGTGCCATCAATGCTGCCAGCTTTAAGCGGGTCATACTCCTTGGCAATGGGCATCCAATCATTCATGTTCTGGGAAGGATCACAGCAAGCCTTTATGTAGCACCTATTATGAGCTACTCATTTAATCCTTACAGCAACCCCACGAAGTAGATACTATCATTCACTCCTTCTTCAATAGGGAAGGAAGCAGGACCCAGAGCCTGAGGCCTCCCAGCTACAAAGTGGGTGGAGGAGAATCAAAGCCAGACAGTGGGGCTCCAAAATGTTGTCACCCACCGCTCCACCCTCCATCCCGGGAAGAAGCGAAGGGCAATGTGCTTGAATTTGATCCATCTGTGTATCATCCAATTTAGTCACATCAGGACACTTACCAACCACATAATAACATGGCAACATGGATCAAAATCCAGGCTCGCCTTTCAGACTAAAATGGTCATTGGAAAACCAGCCTGGGAACTGCTATGAAAAATGGTGTTTTTATTTAAAAACTCTTTACTGCCAAAACTTTCAAACACGTACCCATGTAGAGAATGGCATAGCCCTCCACAAACTCATCCCCTGACTGACCAACACGTGGCCAGTCTTGTTTCATCTGTGCCCACTTAGATCCCCACTCTTAGATTCCTTTGAAGGAATTCTAGATATTACATGCTCATCTGCAAATGTTTTGGTATGCATCATTAAAAGATAAAGTAAGGACTTTTTTTTAAAACACAAAACTACAAGGGAAAATGGTGCTTTTGATGTAGTATTTTGCAATAGGTAGCAAAGCTAAAACTACAGTGACCCAGCAGCAGCCCGCTCTGGTTCAAAAGGAATATGGGATTTCTTCCCAGTCCCCTGGCTGATAATCTGTTCATGCCTTAAGGTATGGGAATTGATTGCAATGGTGATTTTAGCCCCACAAGCATGCGGCAGTTGTCATTCCTTCTGATACAGGATACGTCTTTTTTGTTTTGTTTTTTTTTTTTAAAGAGGGTGGGAAAGTTTAAGTTGAGAGGAGAGGCTGACAACATGGTAATTGATTCACATTCTGGTGAATCTGCTGGGATAATAAATACAGTGCTTGCCAACAATTCAGACACTGCTACTGCTCACATGACCACCTCTATAAAACGTTAGAGCCATTACTGAAATCTGTTACCCTAAAACCAGGACTCCAGGTGCTTGGCTGGCTCAATCAGTAGAGCATGTGACCCCTGATCTAGGGGTCATGAGTTCAAGCCCCACATTGGGTTATAGAGCTTACTTTTATAAATAAACCAACAAACAAACCAACAAACAAACCAGGGCTCTGTCAAATTTATATAGTAATCTCATAACATCTTTCCATGATATTTATTAAAATATCTATAATTTTCGCCCTCTTACTCATATTTTCCTCAAGGATCTTTTTGCTTTTCTTTTTCTTCGGTTGATGGGTTATGTAGGGGGAGTGATTATTTATGGGGTGCACTATGGAATTATCTTGCCAGTAAAAAGACCAAACACAGAATAAAATCCAAAGTCAATGGCACTGCACTCAAGACCTTTGACTGTCCCTTAGCCTCTTACCACAGTCCACGCAAAATCTATTTTACCCAGCATTGCTCCCCATTCCTGAAATGTGCCCTAATTCCCCAGCTCCAGGTCTTTCCCTGTGCTATTTCCTCTCCTGGGAACACTTTCTTCCTTTCCACAGCTCCACTTACGGAAATTCTATTGGTCCTTCCAAGCCCAGCTTCCAGCCTCTTCCCCAGGAAGCAAATTTATCTGTCCCACAGCTCAGGGCACCTCGTCTAATACCAATCACATTTCCCCCCTAACACACAGTAAACACTCTTTAGTCTAGCATATGCTTTACAGATTCTAGGATACTTCCTGATGAATACTGAGGAACTGAACCAACTCCAGTCAAAATTCAGTGAAGTTCTTTTGTGTCCAAATCAGACAAAAAGGATGATTTTATTGAGAACTGAGAAGCAAAACAACTTTATACTCTCTGCCACCACACTGTAAAAGGAGAGCATATATGCCTGTCATCGGTAACCAGCAACTTTGGAGAAGGCACCTCTGGTATCCTTATCGGTAAAAGGATGATAAAACAGCGGGAGCAACGAGACGAAAGAGGATTTCAGTCCCGTCTGGGTGCTGCCTCTAACTCACTTTGTGTCTCTTCTCTCTCATGGTTGGAACTTCTCCACATGAAAAAAAAGAAAATAAGGAGAGCACTGTGTTGACTCTCTCCCTGCTCTAGTATTCTCTAACAATTCCATTCTACTGGTCCTACCATTCTAGACCACACTTCCTATCCTCCATCACAGGGCTGCAGGGAAACACACACACACACACGGACCATAATAATTATAGTTAACTTGTACTGAAGACTTAGGAGGTGCCAGGCACTAATGCTAAGCACTTAATTCCCCTCACGTCTCAACACTGTCAGGACAGAGGTTCTACTATTACTGTCATTTCAGATGAGGACGGAGACACACAAAAAGCTTTCTTTTGTCCCAAATCACAAGGCTAAGAAGTAGCCTTGCCAGGGAGTTACATTCAAGGGCTTTTACCACTCCAGAACTTGACTTGAGCTCTTAGTATTTTCTTAGATGGCTGTCACAAAATATAAAACTTTGAAGATGGGGCTAGCAACAGCAACAACAACAAAAACCAAGAGGATTCTGTGTTTTTGAGGCTGAGGAAAGAATCCCTTCCCCAACCAACAAGAAAAGGTCATAAAAGATCCATCAAATAAAACTGATATTATTCTACATAGAACTCCTCTCCAAAGCTTTAAGAATTATTTGATGTAGCAAAGACATTATTAGGGTTCCAAGCCAACAGCCAAGAAAGTATTCTTGAAACATCTTTGGTACAAAAAGGTGGTTTTATTAAAGCACGGGGACAGGACCTGTGGGCAGAAACCTGCACTGGGGTCATGAGGAGTGGCCCATTATATACTTTCAAGTTGGGAAGTGGTTAGGGATAGTCTAAGTCTCTAGCAATTTTGGAAGCAAGGTTTCCAGGGCCTTGAGGGGGCTAGCTATTGTTGGGAAAGGTAATTTATTACTGTCTAATAAAACCTTAGTCATGAGACCCTTGATGTATATCGGTGGGTCATATGCTTGGGGGATGATTACCAACATGTACCTTGAGGGGGTAGAGATAAAGGAAGTTTTCTATATTAAAGTAGACTTACAGGATCCTGAGGTTTGGGCTAAGACTGCCTTTTGCCTTTAGCAAAGTATCAACATCAAGGCAGTTGAGCCCCTAGATGAATGTCACTCTGCCTGTTTCAAGGACTTGTCAGTGGGCTGTAGGTAGTAAGGAAATTTAATAATGTTTCTTCTGCCTTTGTTTCCCACATCATTCTTCAAATTAAAATTTGAAGAGAATTACAAAGGAAGAGTCTGAATTTTGTTTCTCCTTCATGGGTATACTTCTATCAATACTAAATGCCAGGGTGCCTGGGTGGCGAAGTCAGTTAAGTTGTCTGCCTTCAGCTCAGGTCACCATCTCAGGGTCCAGGGATGGAGCCCCACATGGGGATCCCTGCTCAGTGAGGAGTCTGCTTCTCCCTCTCCGTCTGCCCCTTCCCCCCCCCCCCCCCGCTTGTTTGTTTGTTTTCTCTCTCTCAAATAAATAAAATCTTTAAAAAATACTAAATGCCAAGGGGGGTTTAAAAAAACCACACAGGGGCGCCTGGGTGGCTCAGTCGTTAGGCGTCTGCCTTCGGCTCGGGTCATGATTCCGGGGTCCTGGGGTCGAGCCCTACATCGGGCTCGCTGCTCGGCCGGGAGCCTGCTTCTCCCTCTCCCACTCCCCCTGCTTGTGTTCCCCTCTCTCGCTGTGTCTCTCTCTGTCAAATAAATAAAATCTTTAAAAAAAAAAAAAAAAACCACACAAAAAATAAATGCCAAAAGAGCAGCAGGCTTCACGGCTTCTCATTCATCTTTCTGGGAGTATTCCCTCCCTTGCATTATGTTGAGATTTCCTACAGTTTCTTTGGATTTTTAGATAAATGTCATTATTTCATAAATGGGAATGAGATGTGAGAGATGAATGGTGGGGAATGAGAAGGTGGATGGGGAAACTAATCTTAATTAAAGACAAAAGTGTGAAAGTGAACAAGATCACGGGATCGGAGACAGAACACCGGGTTTAAGACCTAGTCCGTTCTTGGGCAAAGTTTAAGTCAACTGTAAAACGTAGCTACAAGCCACTTCACTAGGTTTTTGTGAAGATTAGGTAAGACAGTGTCCGTGAATGTGCTTTATAATTAGAAATTATACAGATCAGTTATTACGAAAACGTCCAACAAAGCGTGCCTCCCCTTACTAAACGCCGAGTTTAGAATATTCCCGCGCTTTGCATCCAGTTAACTGACGTCGGACCCGCGGAGCGCTCTGGAGCATGCGCAGTGGCGCCGCGGCCGCGAAGGCGGAAGTCTGGGTGGAAAAGCCTATATACGCTCAGTAGCCCCGCCGCACCTCAGCCTTGACCGAGGGCCCTCGAGGCTGCCCCCCGCCCCGCACACCTCTCACCATCTGAGTGGGAGAGGGGGAGAAGAGGCCCTTCTTCCACCCGAGCTATCGCCCCCGCTTCCCGCACCACAACCCCAGAAGGGCTCCCCCTTTGCCAGGCTTCAACATGGCGGCCCTTACACGAGTGGACGCACCGTCCGGACCGAACTTCCCTCGTCCTTCCCGCTGGAGTGGGCTCTGCTGCCACCAGGCCGCTCCCACTCACCTCAGCAAGGCTCGGGCTTCCCTTCCCACCTTAGCCAGCGGACTGCACGGACTCGAAGCGCCAGGCGATTCCTCGCGCCTGCCTGAGCAGTCCTTTATATTGGAAGAAGCAGATTCGCCACGAGCAGTGTTTCTCGTTTTTGCTTTTAAGAAATGTAATCCACGTGTGTTGAGCCTCGAGGGTGTATCATCGCCGAAGAGAACGGGCTTTCCGTTTTTCGAACTTTTTGCGCGACGACAGAAACTGCTAAATTGAACAGTTGAGTTGAAAGACTATGGAATGTGCGGTTAGTGGTCTGGGAGGAGCCGAACCGTTCGCCTTCCGTAGAGAAGGGATCTGTCAGCGCGGCGAGATTGTCAGTTCTCAGACTCACTTTGGGAATCGGATTATGTTATGGTGTGTTCAGAGGATGCGTGTGCTGGGTCACACTGCAGAAGAAAAGCGCTCAGGGAAGGGTTGACAACCCTGACTCCATCTTGCATCAGCCACCATTTTGTGGAGTTCTCCGAAGAGCAGCCCCTCTCGGAATCACGATGAACATTCTGAGGTTTGAACACCTGGAAAGTTCCCTGCGTCTCACAGACCTGAGCAAAAAAAGCCAACCGATCACTCGGCAACCCATACCAACGGAAATTTCTCCCTCGCTGGGGTAAACAAGCCTTAAAAAACGCCTCTAGGGACGGGCACACCAGCTGAGTTGGATGGTGCTTCGCAGTTTGCAAACCTAAATAAAGAGTTGTCTCCTTTTTCCTCGCTTTTTCTTCGCTCATAGGCTCGCTCCTGAGGTTTTTCCTTAACAGTTTGGAGCAGCCGAGGAAAAAACGTGAAGCAATCTAGGCACCTGCTGCGGACCTCCGGACCTGCCAAAGTGAGCACCACAGCCCCGCTTTGCTTCTCTTAGGGTGGCTCCTGTGATGGGGGGTGGTAGTGACAGGCATGGTCCTTCATGTCCCCGACCTCCCACCTCGGAAGAGCTCAGGAGACTTTTCTTTCTTTCCTTTTTTTTTTTTTTCCCCTTTAAGATTTTATTTTTAAATAATCTGTACACCCAAGGTGGGGCTCGAACTCACGACCCTGCGATCAAGAGTCTCGTGCTCCATGGACTGAGCCGCTCAGGCACCCTGAGACTTTTTGCGGGGGAGGAAATTTCCTCACTTCAGAACTGTTAGCAGTTCAGGGGAGGGTTCCTCCAATACAGAGTGAGTACCAGTCTCTCAGAGCTTTTGATGATCAGCCTGCTGATTGTACAGATAAAAACTATGGCCCAGGGGCACCAGAGTGGCCAACCATCTGATTGCAGCTCAGGTCATGATCTCAGGGTTGTGAGATGGAACCCTGCCCCAGGCTCCTCGTTCAGTGGGGAGTCTGCTACTCTCCCTCTCCCTCTGCCCTCCCTCACTCGTGCTCACTCGCTCTCTAAACAGATAAATAAAATACTAAAAAAACTATGGCCCCGGGAGCTGTAAGTTTCCTCAACCTGGGTTCAAATCACAAAGTATCATTTAAAACTTCACTGGCCTCCTTGGGGTACCTTTGATATCCCTAAGTTGGTGTATTTAAGAGCACAATTGGGAAGGTGAAGCTATCATACTTAACAAAATCAATGGAAGCCTATTTTCAGTTGGTACTTAGAAGCCCCCAAAAGAACCTAGTCAGTCATAGCCTCTGCAAAAGAAAAAAACTCAAAGATGAAAATAATTAGAACAACTCAACACTGAATCAAAAATTACTCTACATCTTCCATTTCCAGTTCTCTGTCCCCCACAGTATGCCTTCTGTTTCCTCTGCTATATGCAGATCTTTCCAAACTTCCTTTTTCCCCTCTGAAGTTTCTCCTTCCCCAGCCCTGCCGCCATCCATCCTCCCAAAACTAACATCATAGCACCTTTCAAAGTCAGTTACTTGTCCTAATCCCAATAATCAGGTCCTTTCTTTCATGTCCTGCTCCTAAATAGAACTTCTTAATCTTGCAAAAGACTTTCCTAACCCAAAAGAAAATTCAAAAGAGTTCACCTGACAATCAATTTGGACTATCAGTGCCCTTAATGCAGGCCCTTCTGACTTTTACCAACTAATAGGCATGCTCGTTGGACCTCTACAGGCCCAAGAATGGATAAATAAAGCTGGATAGGAAGACCCCCCTGCAGGATTTTAAACTTCCTCATAATGAGGCCCTAGAGAAAACTTCTAATATAGCTGCAAATTTAATCAAAATGATTCCCCATATGTGGGCACCTCAAATAAATTAGAAGGCAGTACAAAACAAAAAAGGAAGAACTTGTTTTCGAGTTTTTTGATAGATTCGAAAAAGGTTTTGTCCAAAATTCTGGAACCCTTAGATTGGATAAAGGATCAAATTATTTAATTCAATGTTTCTAGAGGACTTCCTTTTTTCAATCTTAACTGTGGTCAGACAACATGACCCTGACCAACAGACCAAAACTCCTCGTGATCTAGCCACCACCACTAACAGATTGGCAAAGATGATCGGCTAATAACAAAAATAAATTTTAAATAGAACAAATGGCTAACCTTATGGCTCTACAAACGGCAAACCTCAAATCCATGTCATAAGTTAAAACATCTGGGCACGTCTGGGTGGCTCAGTCGGTTAAGCGTCTGCCTTCCGCTCAGGTCATGATCCCAAGGTCCTAGGATCTAGTCCGTGTCTTGCTCAGCAGGGAGCCTGCTTCTCCCTCTGCCTGTAGCTCCCCCTGCTTGTGCTTTTGTGTTCCCTCTGGCAAATAAATAAATAAAATCTTCAAAAAAAAAAAAAGTTAAGGGGCGCCTGGGTGGCTCAGTCGTTAATCGTCTGCCTTTGGCTCGGGTCACGATCCCAGGGTCCTGGGATTGAGCCCCACATCGGGCTCCCTGCTCCGCAGGAGGCCTGCTTCTCTCTCTCCCACTCCCCCTGCTTGTGTTCCCTCTCTTGCTGTGTCTCTCTCTGTCAAATAAATAAATAAAATCCTAAAAAAAAAAAAAGTTAAAACATCTGGCTCAACTGATAAAACATGTTTCTTTTGCAAAAACCTGGACATTTCAGGGGTCAGTAGGGTGAGCCACTCTTGATCTCAGGGTCATGAGTCCAAGCCCCACCTTGGGCATGGAGCCTACTTAAAACAATTATAAACAAAAATACCCTGGACCTTTCAAAAAGGAATGTTTGAAATATAAAAGATGGCTCCAAAAGAACAAAAAAATCTTGGGGTGCCTGGGTGGCACAGTCAATTAAGCATCTGACTCTTGATTTCAGGCCAGGACATGATCTCAGAGTCCTGAGATCAAGCCCCGAGTCTGGCTCCTCACTGGGCGTGGAGCCTGCTTAGGATTCTCTCTCCTCCCTCTGTGCAGCCCCCTGCAACCCCACTCACATATGCATACATGTGTGCACTCACTCTCAAAAAAACAAAAACCAAAAAATCAAAAATCTCAAAAACAATTCCTCGATCAGATTAGAGATGTTCCAAGGACAAAAGGGGGATTTTTTTTCCCTTTCTCCTAGCAAACACCACCAGAGAAACTCCCATAACAATTCAGAATGAAGACGGTTTTATTCTTTTTTTTTAAAGATTTAATTTGATTAATTAATTTATTTCAGAGAGAGAGTGTGAGTGGGGGAGGAGCAGAGGGGGAAGGACAGGCAGACTCAGCGCTGAACCCAAAGTCTGACTCAGAGCCCAGAGTCTGACGTGGAGCCCAATCCTACCACCCCAAGATCACGACCTGAGTGAAAATCAAGAGTCAGATGCTGAGCCATCCCACCCAGGCGCCCCTAAGACGTTTTGCTCTTACAGACACTGGAGCAACTCCTTCAATCCTCAACCACTGATCTGTTTTCCAGTCCCTGGCCTCAAGAATACAAAAGCACTTAACCATCAGGGTCAGGGTCACTAATCAGCCACCAACTGTCACATTATCTCAACCCCTAGAGTTCATTCTTGGCACTTGACAAGGCAACCATTCCTTTTTATTGGTGCCCTCATCCCCAGCACTTTCTTTTATTTTTTAAGTAGACTCCATACCCAATGTGAGGTTCAGACTCAGGACCCCAAGATCAAGAGTCACTGCTCTACCAACTGAGCCAGCCAGGCACACACACCCCTCCAGGACTTTTGTTAGGAAGAAATTTTTTGCACGCATACCAGGCCCATATTTCCTTTGACCAAAAAAAATGAAGTGCTGTTATATCTGCCTTCTCAATCTTCAGAATTCCTAACTGATCTGCCCAGTACTACCCTCCAGTAAGTCCACTGCCCCCCCTCCCCGTTCCTAAATGCACTCCCTGATCAATTGTGGGTAACCTCTTCTACCAATATAGGACACATAACCTCGGCTTCCCTAATAACTATTCAGATTGATCCATTAAAGGCCTTACCCACTATTAAGTAATACCCTTTAAGCACTATGGCCATTAAAAGAATAACTCCTATTATTCAAGACTTTATCAACAAAGGATTGATCATCCCCACTACAAATCCTTGTATTACCCCAACTTTTCCAGTTAAAAAGCCCCATAATAGAGGAAGGCATTTTGTTCAAGACCTTAGGGCAATTACCAATACAGTTATACCCTGTCACCCTATTATTCCTGACTCCCACATCCTCCTCTAATATACCAGCTGAAATTACTACGTTTTCTGTCATTGCCTTGTGCAGTGCCTTTTTCAGCATCCCTGTCAGCCCCCAAAGTCAGTATCTTTTTACTTTTGCATGGAACAATCAACGATACACTTGGATAGTCCTACCCCAGGAATATGCTAAAAGTCCTACCTATTTGCTGACCTAGAAGATCTTGATTTCCCTGGGATATCGACACTTTACAATATATAGACGATTTATTACTATGTTCTACCACCCTAAAGGCTTGTCCCACTGATGCTCAGTGCCTTCTCAAACAATTAGCCAACAAAGGACACAAAGATCTAAAGATAAATTACAACTCTGTTCGGCTTCAGTCAAAATCCTAGGCCACCTTTTCCTGGATGGGCTAAAAATAGAACCAGACAGAATTACTACCTTCACCCAGTTCCCTCAACCCCAGACTAAAAGACAATTACAGGGTTTCTGGGTCTTGCTGGGTACTGTCGTCTTTAGATTCCCAATTATTTCCTCACAGCTCAACCCTTATATGCCTGCCTTTGCAAACCTGATCCATGGCCTCAAGAGGCCCAAGATGACTTTATATCTTTTTTTTAAAGTTTACTTACTTATTTAAGTAATCTCTACACCCAGCATGGGGCTCGAACTCACCAGTCAAGATCACAAGGTCACCAACTGAGCCAGCCAGGCGCCCCACCTTTATATCTTTAAAACAAACAAACAAAACCAGCTCATCTTTTCCACAACTCTAAGACACCCTAATTGCCAACTGCCCTTCTCCCTTCTTGTTCATCTGGGAATCCCAAAGGCTTGGAGGCCTACAACATCCCATAGGATATTATAATCTTCAAGTAGACCCCGTGGCCAAATGTTTATCTCCCAGACTCCATGCCCTAGCAACCTGCCTCTGTACTCATTACTGCCGCTGAAAAACTAATAACCAGATTCTCTCGTGCAGGTATTAGTTCCACATACGCTTAAAACTCTTCGACTCCCGCCACACCCAACACCTATCTGCCAGTCGACTTACAAAATTTGAACTAGTTTCCTTCCTCTCCAAGCATTTCAGTCTCTCATTGTCCTCCTCTCAGTCCTGCTACCTTATTTCCCTTACCCCTCAAAAACTCAACTGAACACAACTTCATCATTGTAACTGACTCATTACTTACCCCTGGGTTAGACTTTCACGAAATACCCTTCCCAAATCCAGATTTTATTTGGTTTACTGATTGATCTTACATTAAAAGATGATCAAGGGCCATCTGGGTGACTCAGTTAAGCGTCTGCCTTCAGCTCAGGTCATGATCTCACGGTCTTGGGATTGAGCCCATGTCAGGCTCCCTGCTCAGTGGAGAGTCTGCTTCTCCCTCTCCCTCTGCCCCTCCTCCCTGCTCATGTGCTCTCTCTCTCAAATAAATAAATAAAATCTTTTTAAAAAAATGATCAATAGGGGGTGCCTGGGTGGCTCAGTTGGTTAAGCAACTGCCTTCGGCTCAGGTCATGATCCTGGAGTCCCGGGATCGAGTCCCGCATCGGGCTCCCTGCTCAGCAGGGAGTCTGCTTCTCCCTCTGACCCTCCCCCCTCTCATGTGCTCTCTCTCTGTCTCTCAAATAAATAAAATCTTTAAAAAAAAAAAAAAATGATCTCAGGGGCGCCTGGGTGGCTCAGTTGGTTAAGCGACTGCCTTCGGCTCAGGTCATGATCCTGGAGTCCCGGGATCGAGTCCCGCATCGGGCTCCCTGCTCAGCAGGGAGTCTGCTTCTCCCTCTGACCCTCCCCCCTCTCATGTGCTCTCTCTCTCTCTCTCTCTCTCAAATAAATAAATAAATAAAATCTTTTAAAAAAATGATCAATAAAAATACAATGCAGGACACTCTAGTACCACTGAAAAAATTATTGAAGCAGAATCTTTATCCCAGGTTCATGTGGCCCAACAAGCTGAATTATATGCTCTAATAAGAGCATGCCAATTGATAATAAATAAAACTCTCATCGTCTATACAGATAGCAGATATGCTTTTGGGATCACCCATGATTTTGGTAAGCTCTGGAAGCAGGGTTTCTAACATCCTCTGGACAACCCATAAAAACAAAACTTAGGGGCACCAGACTGGCTCAGTCGGTGGCGCATGGGACTCTTGATCTTGGGGTCATAGTTTCGAGCCCCATGTTGGGTGTAGGAATTACTTAAAAATAAAATCTTTTTAAAAAAACCCAAAACTTATTTATTTTTTAAAAAATTTATTTATTTGACAGAGAGACAGTGCAAGAGGGAACACAAGCAGGGGGAGTGGGAGAGGGAGAAGCAGGCTTCCGCTGAGCAGGGAGCCCAATGTGGGGCTCGATCCCAGGAC